ACTACTTAATGGTCTGCTCTTAACCCTTGTGCGTCTATTTAAAAGACAAAATGTCAAAAAGCGGTCATAAAAATATTATATACTATTTTTTCCCCCCCGCTTTCACTGACATAGATCTTGTTTTGATCATAACTACCAAAAAATTAATTTTCAGGATTTGAACCCTTTAAATGCTAGTTTGTTTATATAATGCCACTGTTGTTGTTGTTATTTTTTTTATGAAAAATGAAATTAATTATTTTCCATATACTAAATGCTAAGGAGAATTTTTTTGGATTTTTACAATCTTGGATATGTCAATGATTAGCAACATTAATTTTGATGCACTATTTTTGTGCAGTGTCAGATATATATATATTTTTTTTTACATAATTCAATTTCAATTTCAATAGAAGCTCAGAGCAGAAAATCAGGTGGAAAATCATAAGAATTTTAACAGTGAACAAACTGAAAGTGTTATTTTAACTTGCATTCAGCGAAAGGAGCTCTATTTTTCGAACGGCCTCTACCGAACAACAAACTCACGGAGGAGTTTCACTGATTTGAATGTGTTTTTTTTGTATGTTTGGTATTTATTAAGGACAGAATGATGTTGACAGTAAGAACCAGCGGACTTCATTCGTGCACGGAAGCTTGTTTCCGTCACAGGATAAAGAAGATAAAAAAGGTATTCACAACTTTTCCATCTCACATTTTTCTCGCTTTTCTCGCAATTCTAAGAAAAAAAAAGTCGCAATTCTAAGTAAAAACGTATCAAGATATATATAACCGCTAATTATCTCGGAATATGAGTTTTTGTCATTTCACATCCTAATGGCAGGAGTAATAGTGAACAATCAGAAACAAGCACAGGATCAATATTCACCTTTTCAACACTAAAGCACTCCATAATACTTCAAATACTGATTAAAGCACATTGTAAGAGCACACACGAGTCAATCTCACAAAATCAAAAACATTTCCAGGTCATATTTCACCCCAAAAATAACAAAAAGTATATTTTTCTTAAAGAAAATTAAGCCTATTTTTAGGACCAAAAATATATATAAACTCGCAATTCTGAGAAAAAAAAGTCAGAATCGTAAGATATAAACTTGCAATTCTGAGAAAAAAAATTATGTGAAAAAAAAAAGAATTGCGAGAAAAAATTCGGAATTATAATTATTACTTTTTTTTACCTTGCAATTCTAAGAAAAAAGTTTGAATTGTAAAAAAAAAAAAAGTCGCAATTACCTTTTTTTTTTTACATTTTTTAATCCTGTGGCAGAAACAAGTTTCGATATTCATGACACAAAATATGTGCACAAATTGTTTAGTAAACTAATTATTTTCATTCGTAGAAATGGTTGTTAAGCGCGTCAGAAATGCGTTTTGCTCATGTTTCATGAATGAAGTCCGCCGTTCGTGTGCACCTCACTATGTTCAGGTTTTAATAGTCTGTCTGTTTTGCACTAAAACTAGAAAAGCAATCACTAGTCGGCCAGATGAATCTGAACTGAATGTGTGTGAAACCACGACTGGACAGGACAGATGATGGCTGCTAAAAAAAAAACAGCACTACTTAATGGTCTGCTCTTAACCCTTGTGCGTCTATTTAAAAGACAAAATGTCAAAAAGCGGTCATAAAAATATTATATACTATTTTTTCCCCCCCGCTTTCACTGACATAGATCTTGTTTTGATCATAACTACCAAAAAATTAATTTTCAGGATTTGAACCCTTTAAATGCTAGTTTGTTTATATAATGCCACTGTTGTTGTTGTTATTTTTTTTATGAAAAATGAAATTAATTATTTTCCATATACTAAATGCTAAGGAGAATTTTTTTGGATTTTTACAATCTTGGATATGTCAATGATTAGCAACATTAATTTTGATGCACTATTTTTGTGCAGTGTCAGATATATATATATTTTTTTTTACATAATTCAATTTCAATTTCAATAGAAGCTCAGAGCAGAAAATCAGGTGGAAAATCATAAGAATTTTAAAAATAGTACAAATTTTGAACGAAACCCTATTAACAAAAATGCATGATTTTAAGCTTAAAAAGCACTGGGATTAAATATCGCCACTTTAACTGGTTTCAATTGGGACATTTTTTTAATTGAGGTCCTGAGCGCAACTATTTTTGTACCTGATATAAAATAAATGTATGAAAGGAAACGAGGGTGAAATATTGAGATTCCAATTAAAAATACACCTTTGACAAAATGTATGCTGTTTGCATTAACACAGTCAAAATGATAAAAAAGACAAACGTGAAAGACTAAAAGTCCCTAAAGACGTACAAGGGTTAACATGCAAACATTCACAAACTCAAAAACCACAGTTACAGGGGTGAGGCCTGTCAGAAAAGTGTCCTGGGACACATTTCACATCAAAATCTAAAGAAATAATAAATGATATTTCGCATCAACAAAATGAAGCCGTTTTTAGACTTGATATGCTAATTTGAAGTTAAAAATATCATTGTATTAAAGTAATGAGAATTTAATGACAATCATTAGAATAATAAAAATAAGAAGTACAAAAGTGTAACGTGCAGATGCATAATGATAATGAGATTTTGTTTTTTATTGCATTGTGTTAATGAGATTTGGCAGGAGGGGAGAAAATGAAAATAATGTCACAATGCAGAAACAGGCTTCATTTTATTGCTTTATTTTGTGAAATGTGACCCGGACATTCACTTGATTCATAAATGTGAACTCGGGCTGACGTGAAGCACGACCACTAGAAGGGCTGCTGATTGTTTTCATGTATATTTAGCAATTATTGTTAGTATTATTAATGTGTAGAGTAGCAGTGGAGTAACTTGAACATCACACAAACTCCTGTTTATCCTCGAACTACTGAATAAGAAACCAAATGAAGAACAAAAAACAGTCTCTAACCATATACTTCGCGGTTTGCAGGTATTGTGTGTAAATTAAAGCTATTTTTAGGACCAAAAATATCATTTTAATGTGAAATTAATTTGTTTTAATTGTCAAGCACCGTTGTACATATACATCACAAAATAATAAAAAAAAGCTTAATTATGAATTAAAAAAAATATATATTCAAAATTATTAATAAGTGTCACAATGCAATGCGATCTTGAGTATTTTAAAATATAAAAAAATTATTTTGATTTTGGCATGAAACATGACCTGCACACGCATTAATGAGATTCACTCAAACGCGGAGTGCATAAAATTTGAAAGAATTTAAAATTTGCAAGAGACTGAAACATTGTAAAGCATCAGTGTATTTTTCTGTATTTGACTCTCGCGTGTCATTTTAACCATTAGAATTAAAGGAGAATTTCATACATGTTAATAGTCCATTTGAAGGCATTGCACTTGTAAATAAATACCGTTTTTTAATACAGTATATTTTGTTGTTCATATTTTAATAACAGGGTTTTATGGAAGCTTGTTGAACTTTTTCTCACAATTTCAACTTTTTGGCTCAGAATTACGAATTTGTGTTACAAACTTAAAAAGTTACAAACTTGTAATTGTGAGTTTTGTTTTACAATTCAGACTTTTTTTGAATTTGCATGTCGCAATTCTGTTTTTTTTTATGCCACAGAACAAAAAATAATAATAATTTAACATTTTAAAAAGTTAACTTTTCTTATAATTCCGATTTTTTTTTGTGCAATTGCAGTTTATAGCTAATAAAGTTTTTAAAAATTCTATTAATTGCAACTTTTTAACCTCAGAATTCAGACTATTTTCTCAGAACTGTGAGATAAAAATATATTTGCCTTTTTGAGTTTATATCTTGTGGCAGAAACAAGCTTTTCCACACCTTCCGATCAATGTATTTCTTTGTCTTTTTCTGTCTTTTCTGAATACTCACACAAAGCAATTTCTACACAATTTCAGAATATAATTTTTTTTTTTTTTATAAATTAAGGATTTTAATAATTACTTCCCATGGCTTTTTGAGAAATCTTTGGAAATCAAATGTTTAAAATCCCCCTCATATTTCCAGGTTTAGTTTTTTCTTTTTCTTTTAAAATGTTAATTTCTAAATGTTTCTGATTTTTTTTCTTGCAATTGCAGCTTATAGCTAATAAAGATGTCCATTATTTCTATTAATTGTGACTTATCTGAGAATTCAGACTATTTTCTCGCAATTGTGAGATAAAAATATATTTGCCTTTTTGAGTTTATATCTTGTGGCAGAAACAAGCTTTTCCACACCTTCCGATCAATATATTTCTATGTCTTTTTCTGTCTTTTTTGAATACTCACACAAAGCAATTTCTACACAATTTCAGAATATAATTTTTTTTTTTTTATAAATTAAGGATTTTAATAATTACTTCCCATGGCTTTTTGAGAAATCTTTGGAAATCAAATGTTTAAAATCCCCCTCATATTTCCAGGTTTAGTTTTTTCTTTTTCTTTTAAAATGTTAATTTCTAAATGTTTCTGATTTTTTTTCTTGCAATTGTGTGAGATAAAAATATATTTGCCTTTTTGAGTTTATATCTTGTGGCAGAAACAAGCTTTTCCACACCTTCCGATCAATATATTTCTATGTCTTTTTCTGTCTTTTTTGAATACTCACACAAAGCAATTTCTACACAATTTCAGAATATAATTTTTTTTTTTTTATAAATTAAGGATTTTAATAATTACTTCCCATGGCTTTTTGAGAAATCTTTGGAAATCAAATGTTTAAAATCCCCCTCATATTTCCAGGTTTAGTTTTTTCTTTTTCTTTTAAAATGTTAATTTCTAAATGTTTCTGATTTTTTTTCTTGCAATTGCAGCTTATAGCTAATAAAGATGTCCATTATTTCTATTAATTGTGACTTATCTGAGAATTCAGACTATTTTCTCGCAATTGTGAGATAAAAATATATTTGCCTTTTTGAGTTTATATCTTGTGGCAGAAACAAGCTTTTCCACACCTTCCGATCAATATATTTCTATGTCTTTTTCTGTCTTTTTTGAATACTCACACAAAGCAATTTCTACACAATTTCAGAATATAATTTTTTTTTTTTGGAATAAATTAAGGATTTTAATAATGACTTCCCATGGCTTTTTGAGGTCTGGAAATCAAAGGTTTAAAATCCCCCTCATATTTCCAGGTTTTGCATAACAATACTTGAATTTAAAGAGAAATGACCAGCCCAGTTTTTCTTTGCTATAACCTACATCAATTTGGCTCATAACTGGATACGTACCACACAAAATAATATTGTTACGACTGAATAATTTTTGCTTTAGATTTATTGAGCTATGTACAAAAAAGTGGCAGATAAACCAGCAAACGTTTAAAACTTGTCGGGATGAAGCTCCATCTCCTTTTTGATTCGGTTCTCCACCAGCAGTGCTAGATTTGAGTTCGTCACGGGTAAATTGTAACTTACAAATACCTGTTTCTTTGTCTTCTTTGCTGAAAAGAAAGAGGGAAATAAATGCTAGAAACTCAACCTTCGGATGAGTTTGATGGCATTACACTTCAGCTGTAAACAACTAAAGCACATGGATGGTTAAAGCAGATCTTACTGAGTCTCTGTGCAAGAGAGCTTGGCGTCGTGTCTGACGGATCACCCAGAACCAGAGCGGACAGAGGCATTGAATCCTGGGAAAAAACAACAAACATGGTATGAGCCGCAGGAAACGCTTCTAGAGCAACTTTCATTTGTGAACCTTCAGCTTCCAAACAGAACTAATCAGAGACAACTTTATCATAACGTGTGTTTAACATCAAAAATATACCCTTATACAACATTTGCAAATGACAAAATGATTGTTACAAGATAAAAAAATCAAATTGCTTTAAATTAAAATGAAGTAGATTCTCCCAGCAATCAGTGTTGTTATTGTTAAAAACCGTAACGCTATTAAAAACTGTTTTTGTTCATTTAAATAAAGCTGAAATGAACTATAAATAATAGATGAAAAACTTAAAACATTTTTACAAAAATACTAAAACTGGAATAAAAATATTTAATGCTAAATAGAAATATAAAAATGATAAAATCATATAATAAATTTACTAAAACTTGTTGTTACTGTCAACTAGAACTATTAAAAACTGTTTTAATAAAGCTGAAACTAAATATAAATTTTAGACACAATACTTTTTTAAATTAGAAAATGGTTAATAACTGAAATAATTAGATTTCAGTTGAAGTATTAAAATTACTAAAAATAAACTAATAAAAATACATTTAAAATGACAAAAGCATATAATAAACTTACTAAAACTTGTGTTGTTATTGTCAACTAAAACTATTAAAACCGTTTTAATAAAGCTGAAATAAAATATAAATATCAGATGAAAAACATTTAAAAAAAATAAATAAATTAGAAACATTGTCTTAGCAAATAACCGATATAATTAGGTTTAAGTTAAATAATTAAAATGACTAAAACTAAACTAAAATAAACAGAAATATACAAATTACAAAAGTATAAAACTACATCACTGAAACTAAAACTATTTTAATAAAAAATAATAATAAAATATAAATATGATATGAAAAACTTGGATTTTTAAATCTGAAATAAAAAAAAGATTTAAGTTGAAATATTAAAATGACTACAACTAAAATTGAAATACAGTAAACTAATAAAAAGCTAAATGTAAATACAAAAATGACAAAAATCATAAAACATTTACTAAAACTATTAAAAACTGTTTTAATGGAGCTGAAACAAAATATAAAAATTAGATGAAAAACTACATTTTTTTTTTTTTTAATTACTAAAACTAAAATAAAGCTAAAAAGCATATCATAAAAATCCTAAAACTTAAACCGAGATTAAAATACAAACTGAAAATATAAGCCAACTCAAAATATTAATAAATACTACAATAATATATTAGTAATAATAAAAGGACACTGCCCAGCACACACTGATTTGGTAAACATACACTAATGCCAAACTAACCAAAGTTTATGATTATGAGTATGATTATGATACTGTGCAGATGCACGGGACTCACATGTTTGCTGCTGACGGCTAGAGCCAGACTGGACAGAACCGGCTCAGACCCGATCCAGAGGAAGAACCCGCCGCTCAGCTTCATCACATGGAAGTGAACGAGCTGCTCCAGAATCTTCTCCGAGAAATCATGCACCGTGATGGGCTCCACGGAGTCTCCGTTCAGCGCCGTCTCCATCCCGAGACCACTTCACCCGACGATCAACGAACGAACTCGGGATCTCAGAGCGAAAGTAAAAGCCCTCGTCGCTCT